TCTCCCCATCCCCCACAAAACCTCAGTTCCTGACTGCTGCTGTTGCTTAGGGAATAACCCCAAGGCCAGTAAAAAGCAAAGACATAGAAAGGTATTCAAGCCAGAAACATTACTAAGACCTTAATGCTACAAGAAGCAGAAATTTCAAATGTTACATTTATTCAGTTAAAAACTGACACTTGGTAATGGTCACATGAACACTAGGGAACCATATCTACAGTTTCCTGAAGTCAGATCATGAAAATTGCACAGGTTTTCTACATATACAAATCTAATGCCAATTTTTAAAAATGCAAAACCAAGACAATGAAATCAACACCAAAAAGTATCCAATTAGACAATTTTAAAAATAAATACTTTTACTTTTAAGAATAAAAAAACACTTTCAAAGCAGCTGAATCTTTAAGAACATTCCCCTCCCCCCCAAAGTCTTCCATAAATTTTGATTGTCTACTAGTGCAGCACCTCTCGGTCAGAGCTGGGATCTGTATATCAGGCAACACAGTATTTTGTTCATCCACAGTGTTTCATTTTGCGTCTTTGTGTTACTGGTAGGTACAGTATCTTGGGGTAATACAGCCTCTCATGCTGCCGGCAACACCCATACAGATGAAAAAGCATGAAACATAGCAATACAGACTGTAAAGTACTTGTTTATTAAAAGACAGGAATGTAGTGTTAAAAATATATATATATTGACAAACTACCCAGTTTCATAAACAACCAAATTAATTTTTGAAAGTTACTCTCAAAGCTTGCCTCATTTACTGTGAGCCATTCAACATTCAACTTCAGACAATTGTATACACCTCAATTCATTCAAAAATGTCTCACACTTTTCACTGAGGGAAAAAAGAGGAGGAAAAATACCCCCTTCCCCTCTTAATTTCAATCTTACCTCCAAATATCCCTTCCCTCCACATACCATGTCTCAGCAGTACACTTGCAGTGGAGACCATTTATGAGTTTGACACACATGCTGACATCAAATGACACCATGACATTAAAAAAACCGAAACAAACCCACAAAAAGCAAAATGGGTATGTGCCAAAAAAATACAAACTATAGTTGTGACTGAAGCAGTCTACTAAAGGCCACATCTGTAAACCATCTACACATTTTAATCCTAAGGACCACTTAGAATCATTTAAAAGGCTCTTACTAAGCCTCCTGTTGATATCTTCTCTGACAGTTGTGCAACAATTTTTTAAAAATCAGCTCTAAAAAAGCATAGGTGTGTAGATTTATCCATTTCCTACAAAGCCAACCAGTATTAGATGCCTGCAAAACCTTGGATTTAGAGTTACAAAGGATCACCATATTGAGAAACATTTTCCAGCAATGCCTCTTTTTGACAATACTTTACATTCCGAGTCCTTTGCCCCCCCTGCTTTGTGAACAGTTCCATTGCCTAAAAATAGTAAACTGTAATCCGAATGATTCCTCCCCATCCCACCCACCCCCACATAAAGTGCTTACACTTGCACACATCTTTTCTTCTAACCTAATTCAATAAGATACTCTGACAGAAGGGTGACCACTTTGGAAGGACACAAGCATGGCACAAACAGCTTTGACTTGCCAGTTTTTCAAGGTCCAATGACCTATTCTTTGGTGTTTCTCTCTTGGTCAGGCCAGTGCAAATGGCCAGTGAAAAGAATTGTGGGATAAAACAGACTCCTCTTTCCACTGTCTTTTAAAAGTGGTATTCCCTATCCTACCCAAGAATATGGTTTCCCTAACTATTAGTAATCCCAATGCTAGCCTCAGTGGCTAGTGGGGTTACTATCAAACATGTCTTTAAGTATCTAGCTGAATTAGGTCTAACAGCCTTGTACTTGATGTATAGATATTAACTTTTGTTATTGTTTGGCAGCAGGCAGCCAGCCTACAGAAGGTTGTGACAGACTGGAGCCACAGCACCAGCACATAAACTTGTAGATTAAAAATAATGGAAGGCATATGGAGAGCTCTAGCTATAATCTTTTAATACGTGTACAAATATAGTATATATAATATATATTAAATATAATATAAAAATATTTATACAATTCCCTCTAATATTCCCAGAGGCTCACTTATGAGTCTTCTTTAGATTTAAGCAAATCTAAACCATATTCCTCAGCAACACTTCACACCTCCTGCTGGTTTTGTTGTTGTTGCTTTAGCACTAGTGCATTACCACAACATTCACTCATTAAGTCACCATGCTCACCCATCCTTCCCAAGCAGAGACATTTAGCCATATTAAATTCCTGATGGCACATTCATTCCTTTAGCAAAGTCTGGGATGAAACAGCAGTAATTCCTCTTAAATGCATCATTCTTGAGTAATCAGGGACACCAGAGAGAGAAGCCAGTGCAAATTTCTACTATCAAGGGCTGCTTCTGGCCTCAGTTAAGGTCAACTGAAGTGTGATAGAAATGTTTTTAAAATCTAAGAAATAATCTTTCACTTCCTTATTGATTCTCTTTTAGCTAACTTTTCTAGCAATCTCCTAGAAGTCTCATTGCAAAAGAAAAGTGCAGCTATGATTGGTTGTATTTTTGCCCAAGGAAAAGGCAAGAGCAGGTTGCTGCCAAGTAAGACAGCTGCTCAGTAACTCTTCTGCATTCCCAGTTACAAATGCTTGCCATCCTATTCCATTAGCACTATTAAAGCTCTCCTGATTTTATTTAGTCCTGTATTATTAGTTTAAAGAACATGAGGATGTCTGTTCACCAAAATAATATAATTAACATACTGACCTTTGTTTGACACAGCCTAATTTGAAATTATAAGCAGAATGGTATGGCAGGACAAAGCTTTATGTGAATTAAGTTAACACAGTGATTTCCTCACATTATGTGCTTCTTCCACATTCAGTTTATTTTAGGGAATGCCACAAATTCCCTTTAAAGAATAAGCTAGGAGATTTCCTCAAATATGAGATGGATTGACTCCATCAAGGAAGCCATGATGTTGAATTTACAAGAGCTAACCAGGGCTGTCCTGGACAGGACCTTTTGGAGGATTTTCATTTATAGGGTTGCTGTAAGTCAGAGCTGACTTGGCGACACGTAACAACAGATTTCCTAGACATGTTACCCACAGGTTTCCAGCTCTTGCCAAGAGGGAACAGAAACGAGTCCAACTCTTTGGTTCTTCTTTTCGTAAAACTGTCTCAATTCATTATGATTCTGTGTGTGTGTGTGTGTGTGTGTGTGTGTGTGTGTGTGTGTGTGAGAGAGAGA